TCCTTGTGCAGGTTTCCAACCGAGTGAGCACAGCGGGTAAAATCGTTGCTCTGGTTTCATGGTGAGTGAGCGCCACAGCCTCTGTGTGGATGCAAACACACACACAGTACTGATAACAGTGAGTCCTCCTCTTGTGTCTGCAGTCTGCTTCCTGTGCTGCTGATGCTGCCGGTAATCATAGAGGGGAACATCAGCCGCTGCCAGGCCAACCTTACCGAACCGTACAGGTGAGGCCAGAACACAAAGTGTTCAAATCCACGATTGTTTCCACACAGACGCTCAGTGGGCTTTCTCCACATCCAGGTGTCTGATGATGCACACCGGAGCGCTGTTCCTGATGTCGGGCGAGCAGCCGATGAGCCGGAGCTGCCTGTACCTGCACACCTACCACATCACCGTCTTCCTCATCACCGTGCTCGTCACCCTCCTGAGCATCACGGTGAGTTCACGTCGCGCGGACGCGTCTTATTCTACGAACATCACGTGGAGGTGACCTCTCCTCTCCCCCCCGCAGGTCCTCGTGGTCAAAGCGCGCTGTATTTACAGGCGCATCGTGACCTCTAACGGTTACCTGGGCAGCGAGCAGCGGGCCTCGTTCGGCGTGATGGACCGGAGGATGGTCCTGTACCCGCTGGTCTTCGTCTTCTGCTGGGGTCCAGGTTTGTTCGGCGCGGACTCTGATTGGTTCTTGTTGACGACAGACGCGGTCAGCGAGGTTTCAGCGTGTCTTTGTTTGTCGTGTTGTTTCCTCAGCGGTGATTCTGGCGTTTCTGCGAGTGGCGGATCCCGCGGCGTGCCAGGGCAAAGCCGGGGTGGTGCTCTACATCCTGCAGGTGAGTCCAGAGAAACACGACATTCACACTTTGAGCTCGTTTACCTGTTTGTGGTGGAGTGTCGTCTTTTTCTGAGGCTGTCAAACAGTTTATGGTTGAATTTGTGTGTCGGGTCATTTTGTGCTCTTTGTGTAACCATGTCTCTCATTAAGCTTCCTGTTTGAGCCTTCGTGACTGCTTGACTGGTCTTTTGTTGCCTTCTGGTTTCTGCGATTCATCAGATATGTCAGGCTCATCGTTATCGCTCACTCGCCTCTCTCAGGTTGTTTCACGTGTCTTTGACCCGAGCGTGTCTTGTGTCCTCAGGCGTTAACCTCGGCCTCTCAGGGCTTCTTTAACTGTCTGGTCTACGGATGGATTCGCGTGTCCCTGCGCCGAGCCCGCAGGACGTTTTCGTCTCGAGACGTGGACACTCAGACGCCTCTGCTGCGAGCGCAGAAGAGGAGGGGCTACCAGACCCTGCAAACGCTCGCCTGAGACGCACCGAGACTGAGGGGGTGTCTCTGCCATCTGCCTCGAGAGGAGAGTCTGAACTTTCGCTTTCCTCGAGGGGAAACTTTGTTTCTGCATCAAACTTCCACCTATGATCCTGAAGCACTGAGGCGAGAAAAAAGGGAAGAAGCAGGAGGGGGGGGGGCTTTACACCGAGAGGAAGAGCGACGCCGAAAACAGGATTTGAAAGAGACGCGACATCATCACCTGTGAGCTGCGTCGCACGGACGGGCCTCACAGGGGTTTGTTCAGGCAGGTCACATGACCCCTGCTGGTCACGGCGCACAGTGAAAATGAAGACGCATTTTTTTTGGACGTTTGTATGTTTTATGAAATGTGCAAATGACAGAAAATTATTCCTTGTGTTTAAAAAAAAACAAAATGTTTTTTTTGTAAATATTCTCCTTTAATCACGTCTGAGTTTGTTTTCTTTTTATTTCTATTGACTGTTTATGCATTAAAACAGAGATTTATACAGAACGCAGTCATCGGCTTCCTTCCTGTCATTTGCAGCTCCATCTCCACTCTAAGGTTACGTCCACACGTACCCGGGTATTTTTGAAAACGCAGATTTTTCTATG